GAATCTACCACAATCCTTGGTAAGATGGTCTGGTGATTGATTACTCTCACAATTAAAAATTTGCACCTTATTTCTAGTCTGAATGTATGTAGCTTCAGCTTCTAGCCATTGGCTGTAATTGTACCTTTGTCTGATAGATTAAAGTCACCAACCTTTCAATTGTTTTCTTTATTCAGTTCCTTATTGTCACACTTGTTATCACTCAGTGGGACAATGTGCTCCCCTTTATGATCACTGCTATTTCTGACCTTTTTCTCTTCCTTCCCTAGCCTCCTTTCTTTCTCTCTCTCTCTCTCTTTCCGACCATTCTTTCCTGTGCATTACGTTTTCTGTAGCAGCGCACAATTTCACACCCAGCAAGTCTCACTTTCCATCCCCTTCTGCATCCCATCTACTGAAAATGGTCAACAGCGAAATAGTTAATGGTGACCCTTTTAAAGCATAGTTAGACTTGAGAAGTAGCAAGTCAAAATTAATGGTAGGACAGAAGAGTTCACTCCCTTCAGAAAGTGTTTCAGGCTGTCTGTACACTTAGTTTACACTAAATTTATATTTAGAAGGTTATCTTTGCAACCTGGAGGGCTCAAAACTTGAAATTAAAACTTAGGTTCTGCAGAACCTGATTGTCCTGCAGGCCATGTAAATACATCTACGGTGCTAGACCAGGCCTGTGGAGGATGGGTTTGACACCCTTGCCATAGAAATAAGGCAATCTAATCATTCCTGATTATTCTTAAAACTGTAAACTCAGTTTTTAAAAGTCTTTGAAAATCAAACATGGCTGCTTTGTCTCTGTTGAGCTAGAGCCTGGGAAGCTGAGTAAGAAATGTGTTGGAGGGAAGCTGGAAGATACTTAGTCATAAATGTTAGTCTCAGTGGATAGGGCTAAAGAAAATGGTTCTGTTTCTTAGGGAGGACATATTGCTTCTTCCTTAATCACCGGATATGTTCAGTTAGAAATGGTATGTCCTGGGCTGAGGGAGTGGCTGATGAAAGAGCTATTGACCACTTCTGAGAGCTGTAGTTCAACGAAGCTGGTCCTGATTTGTTTTCCAACTACTTCTACAGGATGAGTTATAAAATTGCATGTGTTTCTTTCAGTAAATTTACCAAAACAAGCTATACATGTTAAACACTTCTATACCACTATCACTTCATCCACACTAGGGAGTTGCACTGATTTAACTAGATCAGTTTTTCTACCAGTTTGGTTAAGTCATTGCAAAAACTGTGTGTAAATGGACCTACACATATGGAAATTTGCTCCATTAGCTGAGGAATGTTGTATCCAGTTGATAAATGGTATACTTCCAAAGTACCAAAGAAATGAAGGACATACCTATCTTCTTCTTATTTATAATCATGTTTATTATGGTAGTGTCCGAGGACCAACCAAGAATGGGCCCCATTGTGCTGGGCACTGCACAACTAGACCACTGCCTGTTCCCCAAAGAGGTTACAGTTGAAATAGACCAGATGGACTCAGGGAGGGAAAAGGGGGTAGAACACACAAGCAGCATGGAGAATGTGATGTTAGCAAACAGTGTGTTAATTCCACAATTTGTTTTGGAGGGTTTAGTAAGAAGCGAATTAGGTAAATTGAAAGAAAAGTGAAGGAAGAGGGAACACTGAAAGGGCACTGAGGGGTCAGGATAGGGGAGAAGAAGGGGGGCAGATCCTGTGAAGTTAAGTTGAGGTGAAAAGACTGTAGAGGAGCAGGAGGGTTGGTGCAAACAGCTAATCAGCACAGGTCAAAGAAGGTCCAATCAAAACTACAGAAATTTCTCTGAACCTCCCTGCTTTGGCTGGTTCTGCAGCTGCTCTTACTGGCTGGCTTCTCCCAACAATTCCCTTCCTTCCCTCGTGCCCCCCCCCCCCCCAAGCCAGGGGGAGGAAAGTAGGGGAGGCACTACCTGGGTCCTAGTGCACCCAGAGTTGTGTGTGTGGGGGGGTCTCTTGCATAGCTGTGAATGGGTGGGTGGAGGTATAACGGGGAAGGGGTGGCCTTGGCTGGGGCCTATTTTACCCCCTCCCTCTGCCCCAATGCAGCAGTCCCTGTTTTGACAGCTGCTCATAGGAGCTGGAGTCTGTGGCTGATTCCTTTGTCCTCCCCCCCACCAGCTTGAAAGAAGCTGCCAAATGTGCTTTGCTGGGGTGAGTGGAGGAACTGGTTTATGTGACTCAGGCATTTTGCAATAGAGGATTGGTCAGGAGGAATGGATTCGAAGGTTGATTGCAGAATTGCCAACCCCCAGCTTTTCAAAACTCAAGAGTCAAGCTCCCAAAAATCATGAAATCAACTTAAAAATCACAAGAATTAACCAAAAAAAAAAAAAAATTGCCCTCTGGCTTCTGAGTCTTTCTCCACAGCCCTGAAGGATAGAAACTTTTATTTTTCTTAATGAAAGCCGAAAGTCTCTCAGAATCACTTGTCTCAAAGAGCAGGAGCTTCAATATCATAAGACTCAATAAAATCACATGAGTTGGCCGCAGTGTATGTGTGATGCTGCATACTGAGGCCGCACATAATGAATTTGGGCCAAACTTATCTCTTTGTGAGGGATTGTCTTTGTTAACGTAAATAACATAACACAAACCTTAACCTAAACTTTCTGCTGAGTTTTGCTGCTGCTAGGGTTTTCCCCTGCAGGACATCAGTCCCTGTCCCAGAGATGTTCTCCGGACCTTCTTATATCTTGGGATGGAGGTAATAGGACCCATCTGGCAGTGTAGCTCTGCATCTTTGTCCAGGGCTCTAGCACCTGATGGTAAGGTTGGCTCAGAAGGAAAGCCCTGCATTCCTGGCTTGTTGCATTATTATTGCAGAGAGTGACCAAGGGGCTGCTGTGACTTGCTTGGGCCCCCTTAGGAATCCGCTCCAGGGTAGTTCCTGGTAGTTGTGATACTAGTGACTGATGCATTCTGGGGTATATCAGCAGAGTGGAAGCCAGCTGGTGTGACTTTTTTCAGACCAGCCACTAACTTCGTAAAAAAACAACAAGGAGTCGGGTGGCACCTTAAAGACGAACAGATTTATTTGGGCATAAGCTTTCGTGGGTAAAAACCTCACTTCTTCGGATGCCTAGAGTGAAAGTTACAGATGCAGGCATTATATACTGACACATGGAGAGCAGGGAGTTAACTGTTTGAATTTGTCTAGTTTCTCTCTGTCACACAGTTTTTGGTGCCACAGCTGTCAGTCAGGAGTTTGAAAAAAACACACCCCTTATCTGACACTTCTGTGCTGGCAAAAACCGCAGTGTGGATGCATCTATGCCTACAGAGTTCCTCTGTTGGCACTGTGAATATCATTGGGGAGATAACATTACTGTGTCAGCAGAAAAACTCCTGTTGGTATGTGCTGCATCTACACTAGGGGGCTCTGCAGATGTAGCTGTATGGGTATTTGCGGGCTGGATGAGATGACCTCTTGCAGTCCCTTCCAGCTCTTCTTTTCTATATTCTTCAATCATGATCAAGGGGTGCTCAGAGCTTTGCTCACACTACAGTTGTTGCTGGGGCTGCAAGTGAAGCAATGGGAGGTAGTTGTGGAGGTGATGCCCACTACCTCCCTGTAGTGACACTTCAGTTTAAAAATTGCAAGATATTACTCTAGAGCAGGGGTGGGCAAACTACGGCCCGCGGGCCACATCTGGCCCACGGGACCATCCTGCCCGGCCCCTGAGCTCCTGGCCCGGGAGGCTTGCCCCCAGCCCCTCCCCTGCTTTCCCCCCTCCCCCGCTCGCTCCGCTGCCGGCGCAATGCTCTGGGCGTTGGGGCTGCGAGCTCCTGAGGCAGCACAGCTGCAGAGCCCAGCCTGACCCGGTGCTCTGTGCTGCGTGGTGGCGGCGGTGGCGTGGCCCGGCTCCAGCTGGGTGGCGCAGCTGTAGCACCGCCAGCCACCGGTGCTCCAGGCAGCGCAGTAAGGGGGCATGGAGCAGGGAGAGGGGGTTGGATAGAGGGCAGGGGGGTTCGGCGTGGTGGTCAGTGGGCAGGGGTGTGGATAGGGGTCGGGGAGGGGAATAGGGGTTGAATGGGGGCAGGGGTCCCGGGGGGCAGTCAGGAAGGAGGGGGGGTTGGATGGGGTGGCAGGGGGCAGTCAGGGGACAGGGAGAAGGGGTGGTTGGATGGGGCAGGGGTCCCGCGGGGGCCGTCAGGAATGAGAGGAGTGGTTGGATGGGGCAGCGGGGGTCAGGGGACAGGGAGCGGGGGGTATGGATGGGGTCCCTTCCAACCTTGATATTCTAGGATTCTAAGAAGAGGTAAGTGCAGTTGAGGAGAGAGAAGTAGTATGTAAGTGAGTTTGAAGGAGTGGAGTTGTTTTACTAGCTTAATGATGTGAAAAGAGGCAAAAGAAATCCCTTTTCTCATATTAATTATTGTTTATAGATCTTTGTTATAATTTCAGTTGTGCTGTTGACAGAAATCAGGAAAAGGTGCCTGGACTAGAGCTGCCAACTTGTTAGCACTTTGTGCATTTACTGCTCCATGAAAGGCTGTTTACCTCAAGGCAGGTCCTTTGCCACAGGGTATGGAAATAGGAAAGCAGCTCAGACTCAGTCTTACTGAAAGACCCTTGGGGAAATCTGGATTCAGTTTAATTCTTTTTTTTTTAAAAGTCTAAAATTATTCTAGGAAGATAAATTATTCGTTTTGACAAGAATACTTAATCTCAGCACTGTTTACTAGTTCCTGGAAGTGGTGTATCAACCAGTATAAATATTTTCAAGAGTGAACAAAGTATTAATCATTGTTCTTGTGATGTTTGATCCTGCTTTATTACTGATTGGAATTTTAGCAATAACTTTTTCTCCCAAAGCTGCCTTGTCTTCTGGAAAACTGGCCATTGCTAGTGTGAAGTGAATGGGCGTTGCTTTATTAATGGGGTTTGCTTTATTTTCTCTTGTTTGTATGCTGGTCCTGTGTCTGTGCTTTGTGGGCAAAGTGGTCTGTGTGTCGTGAAAGTCTCAGCCTTTTGATTTCACTGGTTTTGGTTGCAGGCGGCAGGGAGTGACGGTATCCGGTTGACAATGGAGAGTGCTCTGACAGCCCGTGACCGTGTGGGGGTTCAGGATTTCGTCCTGCTGGAGAACTTTACTAGCGAAGCAGCCTTTATTGAAAACCTACGTAAACGATTCAAGGAGAATCTGATCTATGTGAGTAGCAGAGAGCAGCCAGAGTGCTGATCTTTGACTAGAATTTGGATATTTGCTCTGAAAACTGGACATAGTGATTTTGTTCTGCAGGTGTGGGATCTGGATGTGGTGGTGTCCACCAGCTCCCCTTTTATAGCCCATGATCCTGTTTCTCAGACCTATTCTGTGTAGTGACATGTTGGCATATATAGGGCCTGATTTTCAGGTTGCTGAACATCTGCAGCTCCAGTTAACTTCAGCTGGAATTCTGAGTGCCCGGCACCACTGAAAATCCAGCACATACTATATTCTTCTGACTTCATAAAGCTATTCTGTTGTGGTCTTAACAAACCCAGGCTTAGCTCTGATCCCAAATATTGGAATGAATGGTCAAAAATAACCCTGTACTGAAGTTGCATTGCTAGGATGTCCAAAAGCACTGAAGCAGTCACTAAAGGATGTAAGTGCAGCATTTTCGGTAAAAGGGACACATCCAGTACAAGTTCTGTATTCCCACTTTTACTAGCTGTGAGGTTGTTTCTTCAGACTCCCAAGTCACTCTCTTCAAAGCGGTTAGCAGCATTCCAAATGCCCTTGTTGCAGGCTGGCCTTGTAAGAATATCTGGGATTCCAGAGTAATTCTGAAGGCTCTTGTAGAAACAGATGCTAGCCTTCATGTAATGCTTTTCCTTTCGGCTCTTTTCAGACTTACATTGGCTCAGTTCTGGTATCAGTAAATCCATACAAGGATCTGGAAATCTACAGCAAACAACACATGGAGCGATACCGTGGCGTCAGTTTCTATGAAGTCTCTCCTCACCTGTGAGTGGCCTGTGGGTAAACAATACAGTTTGTGCTATTCCCACCTGGCTTGTTTAATACTGGTATACAGAAAGCAAGACTTTTTTTTTTCCCTTCCATCTTCCAAACAGAGTACTGGAGTGGAGGCAAAAGAGACCTTTAGAAAGGGTGGTGTCTGGCTGTTTTATTCCTGCTTCTCTTTCCAAAGAGAGTGAGTTGCCTTTGAGAGAGTTATTAGGAAAGGGAGTTAGTTCCTTCCTGGCCAAATGATTTGAGACTCAGAGGAATCTGAGCTGCTGATCAAGCCTAGGCAGGACCACAGACCTCATTCATAGATTCATAGATTCTAGGACTGGAAGGGACCTCGAGAGGTCATCGAGTCCAGTCCCCTGCCCGCATGGCAGGACCAAATAGTGTCTAGACCATCCCGGATAGACATTTATCTAACCTACTCTTAAATATCTCCAGAGATGGAGATTCCACAACCTCCTTAGGCAATTTATTCCAGTGTTTAACCACCTTGACAGTTAGGAACTTTTTCCTAATGTCCAACCTAGACCTCCCTTGCTGCAGTTTAAGCCCATTGCTTCTTGTTCTATCCTTAGAGGCTAAGGTGAACAAGTTTTCTCCCTCCTCCTTATGACACCCTTTTAGATACCTGAAAAATAGATACCATATAGATACCATTGTTCCAGAGTTATTCAGTGTCTAGATGATCTGGTTCTAAGTTTCCCTTGCTGCTAAGCAGCTTATTCAGCTTATGACTAAACTGGGGGAAAGTGTGTGTGTGTGTGATGGGTTTTTTCCTACCTCCTCTGTCACTGCTTGACCAATATTAATCTGGTATTTCCCTTGTTGCTAAGATACCATGAGCCCGTTGGAACAAGGAATGTATTTATTTACATGGCCTGTTGAACATTCACAATTTCCTATTTAAAATAACTTTCAAGCTTCAAAAATCTTTTATTTTTGAACGTAACTGAATTTTTCTGTCAGACCAAAAGAGAGAGAGAGGACACAGCTGAGTGAGCCTAGCTGACCAAAGTGCTCGCTGAGCCGGGGCCCAATCCTGAGATACCTCTTGAAGACTTTCTTTCAAAGACCTTTGAAGGGACAGGGAGAATTATTTGGGCTGTTTCCTGTTGTTGGCAGGTGACTCAACAGTGCAAGTGAGATGGGAGTATGTTACAAGCATGATGAGGTGGTGCTAGAAACATGGTTGCTTGGGAAAATCCAGAATCCTGTCTATACATACGTTAATTAGAATGTAACATTTTTGGAACAGGGGCTGTTTGTTTATTTGTTTGCAGTGTACAACACTGAGGATTCTGTGAGCACTAAACAAATCCTTTAAATATTGGAGCATTACCCAGTTCTGCTTCTATTCAGTTATACATTGTACAAGGGAAGATGTGCCCTGCAAAGTATTACTCTTTCAAACAGTCCAAGAATAAAAAAAGTTCTCACCCTCATTCCAGTTGATGAGAAATTGTAACTGTACAGCTCAGTAAATCCTAAGTGCAGGGACTGCCAACACTATTCTGATATAGGAGACGGTATTTCCAGATGAACTCCCTTAGGGGTGGTATTGTTGCACAGAAAATAATTTGAATATTTTTAAATGTTGTGGGAAACAGACTCATTTTAAGCATTGGACTGTGCTGTTTCATCGATTACTGTTAGCAGCAATTCAGACCATTTTTCCGAGGCTTTTTTTAAAATGGGCTCTATAAAATGAAAACAATTCTACCTTGCTATCCAAATATCAAAATACTTTAAAGCTAGTGGGAACACTTGAGAGTCAGATTATCTGTGGAGTCTGTAGTACCTAGTCATTGAAAAGAAAAAAGGTTTATCTCCGTGGACTTGAAATGCTGCATGTCTCTGACAATCAGGGTCCAGGCACCCCAAAGAGAGAGTGGGGGGTCTGATCTCCCAAGAGTAAACAATTTAATCAACTGGTTGTGTACAATGTTATTGTGTATAAAAAAGTTGGGTAAGGTCTTCTATGAAAGATTGTAATGTTCTGAACTTAATCATTATGAGATAGGTATACAAACTGTGCTTATTAATTTATGTATTTATGTATATTAGGGTTACCATATTCAAACATTTAAAAAAGAGGACACTCCACGGGGCCCCGGCCCCGCCCCAACTCCGCCCCTTCCCCGGCCCCACCCCTGGCCCCGCCCCAACCCCACCCCTTCCCCGCCCCCATTCCAACCCCTTCCCCAAAGTCCCTGCCCCAACTCTGCCCCCTCCTCTGAGCACCCCACATTCCCCCTTCTCCCTCCCGCTCTGATCTTGGTTGGGGGTTGCTAAGTGCTTCCCTACCCCCCCCCCCGCCCCTGCAGCCTCTGTGTCCCCTGCTCCCCACTTGCCCTGCAGCCCCTGCCCTCCCCCGCCCCTGCAGCCTCTGCGCCCCCCGTCTGCCGTGCCCCTGCAGCCTCTGCGCCCCCCGTCTGCCTGCTCTGCTCCTCCTCGCCCTGCAGCCCCTGCACCCCCCCCCACCTGCCCTGCTCCCCCGCTCACCCGGCAGCCTCTGCCTGGCGGGGGCTTCAGACACTCAGCGGCGACCGGGGCAGCGCGGGTCCCTGCAGCCCCGGCACACGCTGCACTCCCCGCCCCACAGGAAGGGTCCCCCAGTGGCTGGGGAGTCCCCGCCCGCGAGGGAAGCCCGAGATGCTGGCTGGGCCCGGCCTCCCCGTGGTCCTGCGGGCTCAGCTGGGGCGCGCGGTCCGCCCGGCCTCCGGGGGCAGCAGCGGCCCCTTCGCCGCCTTCTGCGGCTGCGCCCCCCCTTTCCCCCGCCCGAGCTCGCTACAATGTAGCCGGGCGGCTGGGCTGCGCTGCGGACCCTGCGGGTCGTGCTGGGGCCAGGCGGACCCTGGCTTATGCTGCCTCCCTATTTCCCTGGACATGTCCGGCTTTTTGGCAATTCCCCCCCGGACGGGGATTTGAGTACCAAAAAGCTGGACATGTCCGGGGAAAGCCGGACGTATGGTAACCCTAATATATATAGAGAACTGAGTTTGTAAAGCTTTACCTCTACCTCACAGTAGGGCAGTGGTCAGCCAAGCAGGGAGGAACTGCCTCCCCAACCAGACAAGACTAGTTCCAAGCACCTACCATTGTACTACCCAGGAAAAGACAAATTATGGGCTATCAGAGTTAATGGGAAAACACAGAGACATCCTAGCTAGAATTTCCCCATCCAAAGTAAGGATGAGTCACCATGCAAGTGGGGGGAACAAAAGACTTAAAAAAGGAGACTTGAAACTGAAGTTGTTTTACCTATTATAGTGTCCATGGATTCACAGAGACTGTGAATAATAATGTGGACAGCAGTCATCCCTAAATAAATGAGATGCATCACAAAATATAAGGTATGCAGTGCTGTTGGCCTTTCCCTTGCACTTAAGGGGGTTATAAATCCCATACATAAGAATATGCAGTCCAGAGGCAAACTCTAAAACTAAAATACAGTTTACATTTATTCAACTGTTTTGATTTGGGAAATGCCCCAGAAGTGGAATTTGGATAGAGAAGGGAGAGGAATTTGATAAACTATAATAAATTACATTTTTACAAAGCAAAATCTTAAGTAGCAAAAGAAGAAATTGTTGCTCGATAATGCTCCTTTCTTTGCAAGGAATGTGTTTGAAATTCTATAATCCAGCTTGATTTAAACAAGACTTGGTGTATTAAGGTACTCCAGAAAACTGGTGTGAGCAGTAATTATAGAAGCTTTGGATCAGAGTTTCTCAATCCATATAAACACTATTCTCGAAGAACCCTCTTTTCTAGGATTTTGCACTGTTAGAATATTGGGCTTCAGTTGGCATTTCTTCTGGTTGTGATTGTGACAGTATGGATACTCTAAAAGCCTAAATGAGGAATCTCTGCCTTTCATGTTTGTGAAAGCAGACTTAATTTCCAGTTATCATTGTTCCTTAGTTATGCTATTGCTGACAACTCATACCGTTCCCTTCGCATTGAGAGGAAGGATCAGTGTATCCTGATATCTGGGGAGAGCGGAGCTGGAAAAACTGAAGCCACCAAGAAAATCCTGCAGTACTATGCAGTGACATGTCCAGCCAGTGACCAAGTTGAAACAGTGAAAGATCGCCTCCTACAGTCCAATCCGGTCTTAGAGGTAATTTGAAGTCCAGGATATGAAACTTGGCATTGTGTAGGCAACTCAGTCCCCTGATTTACCACAGATATGTATTTGGTGCTGTATTTTTCTGGTGTTATAGTGACCTCTAGTGTCCAGTTCTGTACAATCCTTACAGTTCCCTTTACTGTTTTCACCATCCTTTCAAAACAATGTTCTGGGTGTGGGCCTGTGGGAGGGAGACGTTTGGCAGGCTTGGGCAAGACTGGGAGGTCTGTGACTATTATGTGCAGGCTAATGAGTTCCTATGACGTCATACTGGTGATGAGGCAAGAAGCTTTAACAAGGCCTCTTCTGGTGGCACATTTTCCTAACAAGGAGGAGAGGAGTGGTTTAACAGGCCCATGCAAGGTAATCACCTTACATTTGCAGTATGCGTACAGCTCAAACAATCAGAACTCAGGTAGCTGCTTACTTTCTTCTTAGGCTATATCTACCCTAGAGAGCTTACAGTGCGGTAGCTGTACCACTGTAAGATCTCTCATGTAGCCGCTCTATGCCGATGGGAGAGAGCGCTCCTGTCAACATAATTAAACCACCCTCAAAGAGCAGCAATAGCCGTGTTGGCGGGAGAAGCTCTCCCGCCGACATAGCGCTGTGCACGCTACCACTTATGCTGGCAAAACATATGTCACTCGGGGGTAGACAAACCTGTGTCTGTAAGCCAGTAAATAAGCCACTGGCAGGTTTGTGAAAAATATTTTAAAATGCCCTATTTTGTGGTTTCCTTGTTTTTGAAGCTTGTTTACTTTTTTATCTGGTATCTTTTTAATTTAGGCATTTGGAAATGCAAAAACCCTTCGGAATGATAACTCCAGCCGATTTGGGAAATACATGGATGTGCAGTTTGATTACAAGGTGAAAATCTGTTTTATATACCTCATTGTAGCCTTGCTTGGATGCCCAAGCACATAGCTATTGAGATCTGCCTCAACAGTTCAGGTATAGTAAAAATCCTAGCCTCTTGTGAATGGAGTCTACTGTTTCAGAAAAGTTTGGGTATAAAGAATTTTCTAGAGTTCAGATTTATAATTGTGTATCTCTCTCTATATATAGATACACACACTTCATTGTGAAGCAGCTAGAATTGCTACAGGCACAGCATGCCTGACAGAAACACAAAAGTTAAGAAAGTAAAAAGTCAAACCAAAAGGTACAGAGACTCTGTTTTTCCACCTACCAGCGCTCACCTTACCACTACCACAACTACTGTGCACCACAGACGATGCACCACCACCATTACACTGCCCTGTTTTCATCCTGGTTCACAAATACTTTTACCAGCTAATTTTTCCCAACCCTAGTGATTGTGGATGTGTAGTGCAGTAGTTGGTTGTGCTGAGGAGAGGGTAGTTTAATAAAGCGTTGTGTGCACAATGGTTATTAAAGGAGGTGATGAAAGGCTTGTATCCCTAGGGGGGAAGAGTTAAGCTGGCAGTGTATGGTTGTAGTGGCAGTGGTAAGGTAAGTGCTTGTGAGTGGAGTAGTAGAGGGTATTTACTGTTAGGGGGTGAACTTCTCCTTCCCTTGCCTTTATGGGTTTGTTTCAAGTATGTGGTATGTGCAGCAACCCTCATAGCGTCCAGCAAATTTTTGTGTATGTATTAATGCCACGGAGTTTTTTAAAGTTTAATTGGGGGTGGGTATTATTGGCGGAGAGGAGAGAGAGGAAGACCTGTGGAGGTAGAAGTGTGTTTGCAGTGTTATTGTAGTTGTGGTGATCCTGGGATATTAGAGAGACAAGGTAGAAGTGTGGCAGGAGAATATTTTATCCACCAGCAGCTGTGCATGAACCATTCTCTGTTGTAGGGTAAACTCTGACAGAAAAGTGTAGCTCGTTATGTGGAAGGTTTGGTGTGCTATCTATCGGTTTTATGTGTGTCCCATCAACAACTTATCATACTTGTGGGCACAGCTCACAAACTTTCAGTTATAATGCAAATAAGAGCTAAAAAGGACCCTAAACGAAACATTTTAGAAAACCTTCCCATTACATCCTTTCTCTTCAGGGCCACCTCTCTACCAAGCTATGAATAGCTAATCAGTGGTTTTTTGTAGGAAATATGTCAATAGTGAAAAGTAGGACAGCCCAGGCAAGATTTCAGCCAGGGCCCAGATTCAAAGTTTTCCTACTACAAATATATATTAAGAGAAACCAAATCAAAACTACATAGAAAGTTCAAATGGCATAAAAATTAATCCAGTGAAAAATCTTACATCAGTTGGCCACCTACTTTTAGAGAAAAATAAGAATCTCTGCTCCATTTTAGCCCATGTTAGAACACGCATTAACTAAATCACCTCCATTTTTACATATACAGATATATAAAAAAAATATGGAGGATGCTGGGGTCCTGCGGGGGAGGGGGGGAGAGGGGAAGCATGTGATCCTGAAATTAAAGACTATGACTATGCACAAAGGGACAGAATTAAGATTGTAGAGGCAACCTTAGTTTTCTGTGTAGAATTAATGTATATAGCTTTATCTTGTGTAGTTTGTTTGTTTCCTTTCTAAACTAAATACCACAATGCCATGAGAATTAACATAGTGTAAAACCTAGATAGACAGAAATCATCCTAAGCTTTTAAATATCTCTGGACCATGGTGTGACGGGTTAGATCACAGAAACCCCCTTGGGAGCTGCCACCTGATGTGCCAAGACTACTTCTATCCCTGTTTTCCCTGCCAGCTCATGACTCCAGCACCCTGTCTTGCTGAGCCAGACACTCCCTTCTGCTCCAACACAGACCCAGGGTCTGAATTACTTGCCCCAAAGCTGCAGGTTTACCTGAAAACAGCTCACAGAAGTGTGCCTGTCTTTAGCACTCAGATGCCCAACTCCCAATGGGGTCTAAACCCAAATAAATCCGTTTTACCCTGTATAAAGCTTATGAAGGGTAAACTCATAAATTGTTCGCCCTCTATAACACTGATAGAGAGATATGCACAGTTGTTTGCTCCCCCAGGTATTAATATATACTCTGAGTTAATAAGTAAAAAGTAGGATTTAAGTGGTTCCAAGTAGTAACAGTCAGAACAAAGTAAGTCACCAAGCAAAATAAAATAAAATGTGCAAATCTATGTCTAATCAAACTGAATACAGATAATCTCACCCTCAGAGATGCTTCAGTAATTTTTTTCCTCAGACTGGACACCTTCCAGGCCTGGGCACAATTCTTTCCCCTGGTACAGCTCTTGTTCCAGCTCAGGTGGTAGCTAGGGGATTCTTCATGATGGCTCCTCTCTCCCCTTTGTTCTGTTCCACCCCTTTATATATCTTTTGCATAAGGTGGGAACCCTTTGTCCCTCTGGGTTTCCACCCCCCCTCACTGGAAAAGCACCAGGTTAAAGATGGATTCCAGTTCAGGTGACATGATCACATGTCACTGCAAGACTTCATTACCCACTTCCAGCACACACACATACAGGAAGACTCACAGGTAAAACACAGCCATCTTTAGACAATGGTCCTGGTTAATTGGAGTCATCAAGATTCCAAACCACCATTAATGGCCCACACTTTGCATAATTACAATAGGCCCTCAGAGTTATATTTTATATTTCTAGTTTTAGATACAGGAGTGGTGCATTTATACAAATAGGGTGATCACACTCAGTAGATTATAAGCTTTGTAATGATACCTTACAAGAGACCTTTTGCATGAAGCATATCCCAGTTACATTATATTCACTTCTTATCATATTTTTATAAAACCATATAGACTACACGTCACACATGGACTCCATCCTTGTCTCTAATATAGCAGAAATGGAAAAGGTCCAGAGAAGAGCAACAAAATTATTAGAGGCAAGGATGGAATCCATGTCAAGAGACATGTATAAGTTTTTTGTGATGGGGTGACCAGAAGTGAACACAACATTCAAGGTGAGCTGTAATATTGATCTGTGTAATGGTTTTATATTTTGAGTTTTATTCTCTAATACTTTGTGTTTGATCTACTCTGTGGAAGTCTAAGAGCTCAAACTCACATTCAGTATTTGTTAGTTTGAGATAGTTTATGCTATTACATGACAAAGATTACTTCTGCTTTTTGTGACCCATTATTCCAAACTCTCTTTGTCTTTGATATTCTGCCATCAAAGAAGCAGGATGTTTCAGCTTATCTTCTTTGGTTTAGGGGGCACCTGTGGGGGGTCACATCCTGAACTACCTACTGGAGAAATCTCGGGTTGTCCATCAGAATCATGGAGAGAGGAACTTTCACATCTTCTACCAGCTGTTAGAGGGAGGGGAAGATGACCTACTGCGGCGTCTGGGCCTTGAGAAGAACCCCCAACAGTACCATTATCTTGTGAAGGTGTGAACAGGGTCCTGCAGTTTGCTAATTTCTTGGTTTGCATGTTCAGTAAAGGGCAAAACTCTCCTTACCTGATAGACTTCGTTGGTGTTGAAGGAGAGATCAGAGTGTTGATCTATAAGGAGAGAGAGAAACTTTCTGGGTGAAAGTAATGATCATCATTATTAAACTAACTATCCTGTATTATCGGATAGATGTGATTCTTAGTTTTACTTCTCAGTATCTTTCCCTCACTTGACAGAGTTATAAAGATACTGGTGAGATGGCCCCTTCTGTAACAATTAACACATGATAGAACTATGGGGCTGTATGTACAATGCGTCAGGCTGTAAGGATTACTATATCTCAAAATTTGTGTTTTTAGGGTCAGTGTGCGAGGGTCAGTTCCATCAGTGATAAAAACGACTGGAAGGTTGTGCGAAGGGCCCTGTCAGTCATTAACTTCAACGACAATGAGGTAGAGGTAAGAAATGCCTTGAAGTACATCTGAGTCATCTCCCCTTAGAGGACTGTCCTGCTTCAGTTAGTTCTTTCTGCCAGGAGGCAGCCTTTGAATGAGTGCCCTTCAGAAAGCTAAATGTAAAAATGTCTCCTACTGATGGACATATAAAGAAACTGCCCTCTTCCCCCCCCCCCCCCCCCCCCCCCCATCCCAACTAAGCTTTAATCCATATCGATTCCCATCTTCTTGACCATTATTTCTTCTTTCTCTTGTACTAGGATTTGCTGAGCATTGTAGCTAGTGTGTTGCACCTGGGGAATGTGCAGTTTGCTGCCGATGAACAGGGCAATGCTCAGGTGACCACAGAGAACCAGATTAAATATCTGGCCAGGGTGAGTATAATCCCTTGGAGACATTCCCATATACTAATGTACTTGGTTCTGTTGCTGTTGTATTACTCCAGGGTAAGATTTAGTAGTTATTAGATCTTGACACTATTAAAGGGACGCAATCAATTGAAAGTCACTTTTCAGTATGAAATAATTAAGGTCAGAGGTTTAAAATTTTACCCAATTCCTATTAGCCTGTGTGAAAAATACCTTGCATGCGCTTTCTCCAAGCCTATGCCTCTCTGCCATTATAGAAATAACATAATTATGTAATATTTGTGTATTATCCTAAATAGTCATATATTTTGTTAGTAAATGCAAAAGAAATATTCTCTGAATATATTATTCATCATATTTTATCTTGTTTGTTGATTAACATTATTTGCTGAGTAGTATTTGACCTATTGTGAGCTGCTGCAGTACAGCAAAATAGTTCTTGCTGAATAAATGGTTTCATGACTGCTTTCCCATTCATTACATGAACATTCCTCAAGTACCATTTGACCATCCCTACTTGCACTATATTTCTTGCTTATGTTAGATATTTCCTCCTCTCCTCTCCCCTCCCCTATTGTGCTCTCTACCTCCTCCCTTTATTTTCTGACTCTTCTTCTCCCCTTTATAATGGCTAGTCTACAGTACCGAGCCGTTGCTGGTATAGTTATACTGGTAATGCCTTTTAGTGGGGGCTCAGTATATACCAGCAAAAGGATTTGTTTTGCTGGTATATCTCTCCGAATGACATAAGCTATATAAATAAGGACTCTTTTTGCCAGTATAAACTGTGTCTGCATGGGGGGATTTGCCAGCATAACTATGCTGCCAAAACTTTGTAGTGTAGACCTGGCCTAAATATCTTGCTTTTCTTTTCAGCTTATCCACTGTTTTTCTGCTGCCCACCCCATGCCTATCTATGTATCCATATGCAGGACCTTGGAGTTTTACCAGAATCCTGATAGCCATAAACAGATATTCTACTGTCTTGGAGCATTGCTCAGTTGAGAACCTAATATACACTCCCAAGTTCTGGGGTTCCTGACAGTATCCTGTTCCTAGAGCCCACTCAGGGGCTTCATTTTTCATGTCAACCTTAGGCTATAGTAGACTTCTCATTAAATTTGGAGCCTATCTTCTCTCCAGAAACCCTATTGTGGCTGCTGGGAGAGAGAGAAGCATTCTCTCTTTCTCTTCCCCCTTTCAGCCCCAGAGACACCTGTTTGCAGTGTGGGTGGGTGTTTGAGCTACTTAACCCTGCTCCCAACCTCCTAGCTGCTGTGATAAGTCTTTCTCCCTGTATTGTAACACCCCCTCAGCTTTCTCTTACTCTACCCTTCCCCATGCCTGCCCCTGCTGGTTTAGTGTCCTGATGATCTGATTAGGATTGTTGTGTCTGTGCTGGGTGCAATACAAATACCCTCCTTCCCCAAAGAGCTTACAATTTAAGATAACTGACATGTGGAGAGTGGGGAAAAAAGGGATACACTCAATGACAAACAATATTGATATGTATTTGCATTAAAACATTTATAAGTTGTCAACTTTCCCCATTTGCTCCTTGGTCTACATTGATTAGACTATTTCTTGTAGGCATCTCAGCAGAGAGGGTCTTGAGGAGGGATTTGGAGGAGAGGATAGTGGCCTTACTGATCAGGTCAGAGAGGATGATCCATGTGTAAGGGATGGCCAGGAAGAGGGCACAGAGGTGTTTGTGTGAAAAACTGACAAACAGGCAGATAAGGCTGATATCATTGCTAGAGCAGAGGAGGCAGAAAGACTAAGGGGTGATGCAGTAACAGATGAGAGGAGGAGAAGAAGGGAGGAGCAAGTTGTGGAAGGTATTGATGGTGAAGATGGGTAACCAGTGAAAAGATTCAGAGTGTGGGAGTGATATGGCCATAGCAATAGGTGAGGAAGATGATCTCACAGCTAGAGAGGAGGTGGTTATAGTGAGATAATGAAGTCTGGGTGTGTGTTTTGACTATCTGGACCGAGAGAAAAGGATGGTGACATTAGTTCTTCTTTGAGTGCTTGTTCACGTCGATTCCATTGTAGGTGTGCGTGCCCACGTGCACAATTGTCGGAGACTTTTGCCTTAGCGGTATCCGTAGGGTCGGCTGCGGTGCCCTCTGGAATGCTGCGCCCATGCGTCGGTATATCAGGCGCTGCCAGCCCTACTCCCTCTCAGTTCCTTCTTACCGCCCGTAGTGGTCGGTCGGAGCACTTCTTTCACTTGCTTTGCAAGTGGTCAGCAGTTTTTCTTCTCTCTCTCAACCTCCTATTCCAACTGTAAATAGTTCCGTTTGTTGTTAGTTAGTTAGTAAGTACCTGATAAGTGTTAGTCAGTTGGGGGGGGATGGAGGGGGCACGGGACTTTGCCCCGGGTGGGGCATGCCCCCGTCTCCAGGTTTTAAGCCCTGTTCTGACTGCAACAGGCCTACGCCTGTTAGCAACCCACACAGTAGCTGTTTAAAGTGCCTGGGGGAATCCCACATAAAAGAAAGGTGTCGCATCTGTAAGAACTTTCGTCCCAGGACACAAAGAGCGCAACATTTTATTAAGGGCCCTTCTGATGGAGACCGCCCTTCGTCCAGATTGTGAGTTGGCACAGCCCAACGCAGCACCCAGCACTTTGGCTTCGGAGTGTAGTGCACCTCCAGCACCAGGCTCCTCCCAGTACCTGCCCCCATCGCCGGTGTCGAAGAAGAAGGTGAAGAAGATGGCACTGAGCAAACCTAATCAGGGGCTGTTGGGCAAAGGACCCGGCTTGGGCCGCCTGCCAAATCTGGACCTGCAAGAGGGCTCAGCCCCGGAGAATTCCTCCCCCCAAAGGGACCCACTACCAACTCTGGGGAGGGGGAGGAGACCCAGACTGACAGTGCAGTCAACACCCGCTCAGCTCCTGGCACCAGAAGAGCATAAAGCACTCCTGCTGCAACTGGCCCCGTATTTGGCGTTGGATCTGACTAAGGCTCCCCGCGAGGGCAAGCCCGCTGGAAAGGCCTTGCACAAGTCAAGCGAGCACCACCAGTCTCCGGAACCAAGGGAGAGCCCTATTTCGCCACATCCTTGGTCTCCGCGTCGACCCAGGTCTCCGGCTCGCTGATAAGAGTCGTCTGAACTGCACTTCCAGTCTCCACCTTCACGCTGGAGTTCACCCAGGGTCAGACTATCATCCCACAGTCTGCACCGGTCATCATCACGCCATCAGTCATAGTCACCAAGACCCTGGGGACGCTCCACAGCATGGCGCCGCTCTCCCTACTCCCGGCACCGGTCTCCCGCAGAGACAATTAGACCCCATACCCAGACTTCAATGACCTGGTCACCAGAGACCAAGGACTTCTCTGGCTCAGAGAAGCAGTTCAGCCCCACACCTAGATAGCAGTGCAATTAGGCTCTGGAGGGTGCATCAGCTGCGGCAATGCCAACGTGGCAGCGAGGCCCGTGGCTGACGCAATGGCCTTATTGGAACGCCTGTGGGGTACCAATTATGCCAATGCAGGTGGAACGAGGGTGTCCACGGTGGGTGATGCTCCCTGGCCAGCTGGAGCAAGCCGCTAGAAGCTCCTTGATCGCCGCATTGGACAAGCCCAGATCGGCACCAGTGGCACCAACAACACTGGGATCGGTGCAGGATGCACCGGGGGGCGCTGCGGGAGAAGAACCAGTGCCTACCCCAAGACCTCTCTCCCCGGTGGGTGATGACACCCCGGGACCTCCCTTGGTAGTCCTCTTCCTCCCCACACAAGGCAGTGGCGGGACTCTCCTGGGCTAGTCCACCTGATGACTTCAGGGAGCATCAGGTGCTGCTCCGCAGGGTGGCTGAAAACTTGGGCCTCAAGGTGGAGGAAATGGTGGAGCAAGAGGACATATTGTTTAACGTGCTTTCCACGTCCACCCCTGCTCGTGTGGCATTTTCGGTATACAAGGGGGTCCTGAACATTGCCAAGACCCTCTGGCAAACCCCATCCTCCCTTCCACCCAGTTCCAAGAGGGCAGAGAAAAAATATTTTGTCCCACAAAGGGGTTTGGATATCTGTACACTCACCTGCCCTGGGGGTCATGGGTCATGTCGGCAGCCTATGAAAAGGATAAGCAGGGGCCGGCCAGTTCTACTCTCAAGAATAAAGAGGCAAAGAAACTGGACTTGTTTGGTCGCAAAATTTATTCCACAGCCAGCCTCTAGTTTCAGGTGGCAAACCACCAGGCCCTCTTGGGGTGTTACAATTTTAACTTGTGGAACTCCCTCCTCAAAATTCAAGGACTCCATGTCCCAGGAGGCAGCCTAAGAGTTCGGGTCTCTGGTGGAGGGAAGACACTGTGGCAGCCCGGTGCTCCCTCTAGATGGCCTGGGATGCGACCAACTCAGCTGCTCGGGTGGTGGCCTCGGTGGTGGTCATGAGGCGCAGCTCCTTGCTCCAGACTGCCAGCCTGTCCCAGGAGATGCAGGCCTCAATTCAGGACCACCCATTTGACGGTGTCGGACTATTCTCTGACCAGATGGACATGAGGTTGCATGGCCTAAAAGACACTCAGGATACCCTCCACTCACTGGGGATGCATACGCCTCAGGCCTCCAGGCCGCCGTTCCAGCCTCCTCTGCTGCCAAGGCAGTGGCTGTCTTGGCAGGGGCCTGCAAGAAGGAAAGATACAGGGTTTACCTGCCGCTGACCTTCCTCCTCCCGCTCTCCTGTGCAACTTGGCCCGGTGAAACACCGCGGGGGGTCAAAAGCGCTTGTTTTGAGGGTGTGCTCGGTAGCAACACACCAGTCAACTCATTGGATCTGCCCTTCCCTTTTCCTAAACTGCCTCTGCCCCTTCCGTTTGGCTTGGTCGAGGGTCACCCGAGACCGTTGGGTGTTGGACATAGTGTTATCGGGCTACACCCTCCAGTTTACAGCCTCCCCTCCCTCCCTCCCACCCACCCCTTCCCTATCCCTCTTCAGAGAACCTTCTCACGAGCAACTCCTTGTTCAGGAGGTAAACAACCTACTGCAACCGGGGGCAGTGGAGGAGGTCCCTCAGGAAATGAAGGGGAAAGGGGTTCTACTCCCATTATTTCCTGATACCGAAGGCAAAAGGGGGCCTATGTCCCATTCTGGACCTGCTACGGCTCAACAAATTCCTCGAAAAGTTGAAGTTTCACATTGTGTCTGTGGCCTCCATTATACCCTCCCTAGATCCGGGTGACTGGTATGTCACTCTCGATTTGAAAGATGCTTATTTCCATGTCTCAATCTTCCTGGAACACAGATGGTTCCTAAGCTTTATGGTGGACCAGTGCCATTTCCAATTTATGGCGCTCCCCTTTGGCCTCTCCTCGACCCCACGGGTCTTTACAAAGTGTATGGCCCCAGTAGCCACTTACCTGAGACACTGGGGGGTTCAGGTATACCCGTATCTCGATGACTGGCTCATCATGGGCAGATCGCAGGATCAAGTGCAGAGCAGCCTCGATCTGGTGCGAGCCACATACCGTGACCTGGGCCTGTTAGTCAACACACAAAAGTCGACCCTCGTACTAGTGTAATGGATAGAGTTCATCGAGGCAGTTCTGCACTCCACAAGGGCAAGGGCATTCCTCCCGGAGTCCCGCTTCCAAGCCATGTCGGTGGTAATATCCTGTGTAAGGGATCATCCCTTACTACCACCCTTACCTGTCTACGGCTGTTAGGTCATATGGTGGCCTGCACCTACGTGGTTCGATGTGCCCAACTCCATCTCTGGCTGTTGCAGGCGTGGTTGGCATCGGCGTACATCCCCAACAGACACAACCTAAACTTGGTAGTCAAAGTGCTGAACCACATTTGGGCATCTCTGGCATGGTGGCTGGACCCTGTGTTGGTCTTGCAGGGAGTTCCCTTTGCGGGCCCGTCCGTGTTGCTGATTCTGGTGACCGATGCTTTGGACCTCGGATGGGGAGCCCACCGGGGGAATCTCAGTACTCAAGGCCGTTGGTCAGGGGTTGACTTCTCCCTTCACATAAAAGCTAAGGAGCTCAGGGCGATTTGCCTGGCCTGCCAAGGTTTTCGGTCCCAATTGCAGGGCAAGATTGTTCAAGGAACTGAGAGGGCGTAGGGCTGACGGCGCCTGATATACCGATGTATGAGCATGGCACTCTAGTGGGTGTCACAGCTGACCCTATGGATACTGCTAAGGCAAAAGTCTCTGACTGTGCACGTGGGTGCGCACACACCTAGAATGGAATGGACATGAGCAACACATCTCAAAGAACAGTTACGAAGCGTGGGTAACAGATTTTTTTCTGTGCACTCTGCTGGAATGGTCCTGGTAAACCAGTAATGTCCAATCACCCTATCTTACTGTTGAGTGCATGTGCCTACTAGAATGAGGAGTGAATCACTGTGAATCTCAGCAGTGGACAGGATGTGTTAATCAGTGAAGAGCAGGACTTGATTAGCTATGGGGCCTAAAGTTTCTAATGTCTCTAAAACAGATGTGAAATTAATACTTTCTCTAATTGAGTTTTCCTTTTGGTGGTTTGCAGCTCCTGGGGGTTGAGGGCTCTGTGCTCCGGGAAGCACTGATCCACAAGACGATCATAGCAAAAGGGGAAGAGGTGAGAACATGAGCTGGCAAACTGGGAGACATCCAGAACTGAAGCCAACTAATATGGTCTGCTTTGTTATCAGGTTAAACAGTTCACCTTCTGGTTACAGATTTCTCACAGGTCTGAGAGGAAACTGTCTCTGTATTTCTTGGTCTCATGTAACCTACTTGTGACTAACTAGTAATCAGTACCTCTGGGAGATTGTGATGTGTGCACAACTAGTTATTAGTATTGTGTTCCGAAGATTGCATCGCTCAGTGGACTGATTTTTTGAATTTGTCTCTTCTCCTTCCACATACAGTTGGTCAGTCCTCTGAATCTGGAGCAGGCAGCCTATGCACGGGATGCTCTAGCCAAGGCAGTATATGGGCGCACCTTCTCCTGGCTAGTGAATAAGATTAACAAGTCTCTTGCCTACAAGGTAAATTTATCTCTCACTTGCACTCCCGTGATCATATTATACGACTGTGCTACTAAAGTGGGTGGGAAGAGTGAGTTCAAACCGTTGAACTAGGAAGCAGGGAAGGGGTTCAGCTCAATACTGAACAATGATTTTCTGACTGCATTCCTCTCTCACTGAGAGGAGTGAGGACCAGACAGTAGAATTATATGGGAAGATAGCAGTGGAGGTTCACGACTGCTTTTGAACCTAATGATAAAAGCTACACCAAATGTGACAGAGTATTCTGTGTCTTTGTTACAGGAGGCAGAATGCCCAGGCTGGAGGAGTGCAACAGTTCTAGGGCTGCTTGACATTTATGGATTTGAGGTTTTCCAGCACAATAGGTTTGTTTCACCTCAGTGTCTTTGAGCTTTGAATAACCTTGTTTCCTGTGATTTAATCCTGTTATTTTGTTTCCTTCCCTCAACATTAGAATAATAGGCTTCACCATGCCTGGCACTTTTTTAATAGAAGAGGTTTATGTAACATGAGATTAGGTCTCAACTTCAGGAAATCAACAAACTACCTGATAGTAGTAGGCAAACACCTTCTGAGCGAGAGGCCTAGTCTTAACATCTCTAGATAGGGACATCTGTGCCTAGTTGGGACCCTGCTAGACTCAGCATTCACTACTATTTATCATCTTAATGTTTCAAGGATGCGTAACTGATTTTTGCCCATCTTGGAGCCTATCTACACGACCGCTGTAATCGCACCTACATGCAGTTGTGTGGCATGGGTATGGGTATGGGTGTCCTCCTTCTAACACATTTTTGTTGTAGTGTGAATGAGAGATCACAATATGGAATTACATTGGAGCCTGTAACCTAACTATGGCAGATATCCATTGTTGGATTTTTAGTGTAGATAGGCCCTTATTTATATCTGCTGTATGCATGTTCCTCCTTGCTTACCTCTGATGGCTCTTTCTCTCTTCTGGGGCAAATCTGACTATTCATTGGTTCATCTCTGTAGAGCTCATATGAGTCTCTAGATCTCTTGCTTGTATCTCTCTTGATTTGTACCCAGATTATGCATGCTGCCTGACCAAAATGGTGCAGACTTTGTTTTATTGAAATACAGTGTGGGAGTGACTAATTCTTTCTGATTGTTTACAGCTTTGAGCAGTTTTGTATTAATTATTGTAATGAAAAACTGCAGCAGCTCTTCATAGAACTCACACTAAAATCAGAACAAGAGGAGTATGAGTCAGAAGGCATAGCGGTAAGAGCCAAGACCTCATTTTGTATTGTTTCCTCTGTAGCATCTCCTATTGGGAGAGGCCAGCTAATTAAAGGGAGCTGATGATAACTTGCAGTATGTAAACCAAGAATTTGGAAGTAAATATTTATTTTTACCTTATTTGTCTGTGTGTGATCCACCAGAACTGGTTCATACAAAAGGGGCTTCAAACTGGGCTCTGTTTTTGCACATGCAATCACCTGCTCACAGGTGATAGCATTTATTCAAACAAAACCCATTCAGATTAGAACTAGACCTGTTCCAGCATTAGTGATTATCTTGTTCTGTAGTCCTTTGTCTATACAATGCATAAAAATGTTAATACTGCTCTCAGCTAAGGAAAGTTGTCTTCTAGCTTGCTGGGTTAGAAGCTGTGTGTTTGGCACTGAAAGTCCTGCAGTTTTGCTCACAGCTATGATATTTGTAACTTTGAGGCTATCAAACATCAGAATTAGTCCATAAATTCTTGTCCTGTCAAGAATGTCACATGACATTGTGGCCCTTTGGCATTTTGCTGCCAGAAAATGTAGATCCTACCAATTTATTTTTGGAAAATTATTCTGTTTTCTTCTTGCTGGAGCCTTGCTTCAGAAAAACCCAAACTCCTGCCCTTCATACTTCTAAGCAAGACTTGTAGGAAGGGCAGAATGGTGATTGAGTTGTTTGATCCTTTATGTGCTACTGTTGGGATCCATGCAGTCATATAATTAAGAAATAGCAGAAGTGTCTGTGGTGGATTCTCTGCTTACTTACTGTGTGGAGATTCTGTACGGGTACCTGGTGCTGGCTAAAAGGCACTCAGATGCTTCACTGATGGGTGCTATAGAAGAACCCAGATAGATAGGAGAGTAAGGATGCTGTAAGACAGCCCTTTAGAAATTTCTCTGCTCCTCCCTCACCTTTTTGTTGCTACCACCAACTAAATATATTTTGTGAATGGCCTGGTTCCCAGTTTCTGAAGAGGTTCTTTCTCTTGAATCCTGCATTCAGAATTTGGAGACCTTTTTCAGAGCAGCAACCACAGAGATCGGCTGCTCTTTGAGTTAGGGAGACTACCTTTCACAAATCTGAATGAAAGATGAGAAACTGTGATGACATGACTCAGTGATGACCTGGAACAAAGAGAAATATTTCATTTTAGGGGTTTTGGTTTCAGGAATAGTCAGTCTTTTTGTGTGGTGTATGCACAGCAGGAGCAAGAACCCCAGCTCTGTATTAGTTTAGTTCCATAATATAAGCTTTTATATGTCTAGTTGCAACTGCGTAGTGTATTTGAGTTAGACTTCTTCTAGAGAGGGACGCTGCCCACTCCAGCCATATTTCAGAATAGAGAGCTTGGTTGCATAGGTTTCCCCTTTCCTTTTGACTGTGCTAGGACAAAGATGTTCACCCTCTCTCTAGCCAAACAAACAAACAAAAAACCCAGATATCAGAAAAATAAATGTATATTTATGAAAGAAATATATCTTTCATACTTGACATGTGGGCCTCAGGAAGACTGTTTTAAATATTTTCTATCCTCTGATATACACTGATCACTCAGACTATTTCCTTCCAGTGCAGAATCAAGATCTTTAATCAGTCTTTAATTGTGTGTGTCTTTTTGTGAATGGCAGTGGGAACCTGTCCAGTATTTCAATAACAAAATCATTTGTGATCTGGTGGAAGAGAAATTCAAAGGCATAATTTCTATTTTGGTGAGTTGACAAACCTGTATTTATTTATATATATTTTTAATTGAAGCTATTTAGGAGCATAATGGGAAGTGACTAGTCGTAGGTGAAAAGGAAGTGGAGGCTGGTATACAGGTTGTTGGTGGGAGTGGGGAGTGTGAGGATTGCGGAGGGAGGTAGAGAAGGGAGTAGAGCCCAGTGTTAAGTATGAACCATGTGTGGTAGACCCAGAGGCTAACCGTCTTCCATGCATGTTTTTGCATTTGCTGGCATTTCTAGCCATCTTTCTAATAAAGATAGAAGCTGCTTTTTAAGAAAAACTGTTTTAACTTACATTTTGATTGGGGTAATACTGAGACCTGTATTTCTATAATGCCATACAATGCATATGCACAAATTTCTCATTAACCACATCTGAGAGTATAGAAGAAGCAAGAACCTTCCAAGAAAAAAACATCAACAGAAAACAAATGTCTGAATGCACCAAAGCTCCGCTCCCCCATCCCCCCCCCACACCTTTAAACTGGCTGTCTAAGAGTGTCCTGCAGAGAGTCTGTTTGTTGGGGGGAAGAGGGATTCTGAGCAGAGCGCCTATAATCAAGAGAACTCTTTTTTTGGATGTTTTTCTACATTTTCAAATATATTGATTTCTATTGCAACACAGAATACAAAGTGTACAGTGCTCACTTTATTTTTTTTATTACAAATATTTGCACTGTAAAAATGATAAAAGAAATGGTATTTTTCAATTCACCTCATACAAGTACAGTAGTGCAATCTCTTTATCATGAAAGTGTAACTTACAAATGTAGATTTTTTTTTATATACTGTTTTGTTTTTGAGTACAATGTAAAACCTTAGAGCCTACAAGTCCCCAGTCCTACTTCTTGTTCAGCCAGTTGCTAAGACAAACAAGTTTGTTTACATTTACAGGAGATACTGCTGCCTGCTTCTTATTTACAATGTCACCTGAAAGCAAGAACAGGCATTTGCATGGCACTTTTGTAGTCAGCGTTGCAGGTTATTTACATGCCTGATATGCTAAACATTCGTATGTCCCTTCATGCTTCGGCCACCATTCCAGAGGACATGTTTTCATGCTGATGATACTCGTTAAAAAAAATATGCATTAATTAAATTTGGGACTGAACTCCTTGGGGGAGAATTGTAGTGATGTGAGATTTCTAAAAAATAGCTACAACACTGAACCCAAGGTGTAAGAATCTTCAGAGCCGTCCAAAATCTGAGAGGGACGAGGTGTGGAGCATGCTTTCAGAAGTCTTAAAAGAGCAATACTCTGATGCAGAAACTACAGAACCCAAACCACCAAAAAAGAAAATCAACCTTCTGCTGGTAGCATTTGGTCAGTAGTATCCACTCGGGCAGTATCTGCACCCTAGATGTCCTGGACTGTCCCCCCAGTCCAAAGGCATAAAGGGCAGAGCAGGCCCAACTATTCCTCAGTTCCTTTTTACCGCTTGTGGCAATGAGACAGAACCTCTGCAGTGTCCACTTCCCTGTGCACTGTGCTGGTGTTAGTTAGCAACTTTAGTTGTTAGTTAGTTCATATAGTTATTGCCTGTTGGCTAATATTTTATATATAATTTTTCTTAGATAAGTTTCAGTGTAGGTAGACATATACCATTCCCCCCCATCTCCCCCCCTTCCCTCCCCCCAAAAAGGGTGCTAGCAATATGGCAGAAGCTAAATCATCATTAAGTTTCAGTGCCGAATAACAACTGGCATTCCCAGTGCCTGCTCTGCTAGGAGAGGGACATATCCCCAAGCAATATTCCATATGTTGGTCTTTCTCTAAGCACAATCAGAATGCTAAAGAAGCCCACCTGAAGTTGTTCCTCCTCAAGAGTTCAAAACGCCTTCTCAGACACTGTTTTTTAGCTATGTCTCAGTCTATGGTCCTCTGATCAGTTCTTCTCCATTAGTAGCCTGGTGAGCTGAGATTCCATCCTGAGCTCTTGGGTCACACCTATTGAGAGACCCCAGTCATCCATTTTCATTCTGGCATCAGTCTTCTGACGGGCAGAAACGATGGGAGAAGGGATGAGCCAAGGTCTCTTTCTCAGATGCCTGGCAAGTCAAGACACAAGCATCATCAGACTTCTGACTCATCTCAGGCTCAACCTCCTAAGGGCCAAAAGTCTGAAAAGGTCCCTTGAAGTGCCCCAGTACAGATTACTAAGAGAGCCCCAGTTGCACCCACCATATCTGCAGACTGTTTTTTCTCTCAGTACCCAGAGCCTTGGGAACTGGTCACCTCAGAACCGTGTTCTTCAGTACCCAGCAATACTTGCTGTCTTGGTACCCAAAGCATACAGAGTACCAGTGACTTTGGGCCTGACACTACAGCTGTGTCTCCTAGAGAGGCTGAGGATGGTGATATCTAAGCCACCAACTACTGCACTGTTGGTACAGCAAGTCAGGGAGGTATCTCCAGTACCAACTTCTCCCTTTATATGCAGGGCACTCTGGATAGAATGGTCCCTCGCTTGAAGGAAGTGTACTCTTTCTCCTCATCCCCATCTAGACACATCTCCCACCCACTCGCCTTCCCCCTGGGGTACCATACTGGGAACCAGGAAGGCACTCGAGGGAGGATTCTACAAAGGAAAGTAGGAGAAGACCTGGACTCATAGGAAACATTTATCTTGGTACCCTCCTGCGTGTCTCCTACCTCAGTACTTCTATCCCTATCAACACTGTCCTTACTGGACACACTGGAGTGTACAGCCGTATTCGTGTAAGCCTGCGTCATCTGCTCCTTGCAGGGTTAGACCCCCCCCTCTTCAAAGACACAATATGGACCATCCCAGCCAGGCAAACTAGTGAAGCCTCAGATCCTGGAAAGAAAGGAGGAGGAGGAAAATGATGAGGAACAACAACCACAAGGGGAAGAACAACTTGTTCCTGCGGTGATCTCATCCTCCCCCGATGAGGCAGTAAGCCCCTCTATGTCTTCCTCAGTGGATGGTCTTAAATTATTCCAAGAGCTCATTAAACACATGGCAGAGATAGTGGATATACCACTAGAAGTAATGCAGCAAAAGTCCCACGAGCTCCTGGATATCTGCACCCTTCCTTGCCCAACAGGCTCCCCATGCCAATTAATGAAAGACCATTGGAGCCCTCAGATGACCTGTGGCATACACCAGCCTTGATACTGGTCACATCCAAGTGAGCAGAAAGAAGGTACCATATCCCTTCCAAGGGATTTGAATACTTTTATTCCCTCCCAGTACCACATTTGTCTGTAGTAGCTGCTGTCAAGGAAAGGTCAAAAATAACAAATACCTCCAAGAGCCGGATGCAAAGAAACTAGACCTTATCTCGTGCAAGGTTTACTCATTAGTCAGGCACCAGATGTGTGTGTGGCTAATTATCATGCTCTCCTCTCCATTGGAGCTGGGATAAGCTGTCTTGGTTTCTGGACAAGCTACCACAGGACCATTGAGAGGAGCTGAGAGCCATCATGACTGAGGGGCATTTGATAGCCCACAGTTCCCTATAGGCTTCACTGGATGTGTCTGACACCACAGTTGGTACTATGGCTATATTGGTGACAATGAGGTGGTCTCCCTGGCTCCAGTCCTAGGGAATCCCCAGGGAGGAACAAATAACAATTGGGGACCTTTCCTTTGAGGGTGGTGAACTTCTTAATTCTAAAATGGACAAGACCCTCCATTTTTTTAGAAGACCCCAGGGTAAATGTGTGTTCACTGGGTCTGTATTTTCCATCCCCAGAAAGGAAACAAACAAGACAACAAGCTTGCTTCAGGTAGCATCCTTGTACCCAGTATTTTCAATCCTAGAGAACTTCTGAGCTGCCTTAGCGTGCTCTACTAGTTCAGTGGCATCATCTTGTACTGCAAACTTGTGAAGCAACTATCAGGGCTTTGCTGCAGATATATTCTCTAAACACTATAAATAATGTATTCATGCCAGTTAAGCAGGGCTCAGTAGGAGCATCTTGCAGGCTGTTGTTTGATGCTAAACCCCCTCCTGTATTGCTGTTCTGAATGCAAAGTAACCAGCCAACTAGTGATAGGTAAGTTAGGTGGCAGTTGAGGATAAGTAGATCTTGTGTTATCTATGTATAAAACCCCCCAAAATGTAAATGTGTATAGAAACTGTATATATTTAATTGTTTTCCTCTTCTCCCTTTGGAGGTCACTTGTATTCTTAGGTTGTCAGTAAATGAAGCAGGAAGCATGTCTTTTTGTGTATTTTTACAACACTCAGCAAAATGGGGCACTTGTTACAGTTACGGGCACTGCTGTAATACTAGCTCTAAATAATAATGTCATATATTCTTGCTTAACTAGCACAGAAAATTGAAGGGCAAACCTGATCAGTTTCTTTCTTTGAGCCTCCTAACCCAGTCTAAATTCCTTTCTTTTTTAGAATCAATTCTGTACATAGATTAGAGTTACAGGGCTTGATCTGATTTCATTTTATGGTCACATTTTAATTGTGCTGCTCTTGAAAACTCAACTGAACTGTGGGAGCAGGCAAGTTCTTTGTATACAGGGAGACGACCTCTCACCAAAAGTCAAAGTGTACTTGTCTTCATCTGCTGGCCGGAAAGCATCTAAAAGTCTAACTAGTCTCCAAGAAGAAAAAAATTCTCCTTTTCAACACAGCAGTTCTTTATTATGTGAGTGAATTAGGCAGCCTCTCTAGTACAAGACAAAAACCTTCTAGAGAAACCAAATTGAGGGCACCATTTTAGTGAGATGAGGGTGGATCTGGCTTGCATACTGACATGTGTAGAAGGAAATGTTGAACATGTGCATTTTGTTGTATTGCTGTGTTTGTTGATTCCCCGCTTTACAGGATGAGGAGTGTCTGAGACCTGGGGATGCCACAGACATGACATTTTTGGAGAAGCTGGAGGAAACGGTGAAGAATCATCCTCATTTTCTCACGTGAGTGTTCAAGTAGCTGTTGCTAGTTTTGTCTTTATGAGGAGGGACAAAATACAGAATAAAGCTAATGAGTTTTAAATATACCCAGTCTCTGCTGTACCTATTACTGTATTTGTATTACAGTAGCACCCAGAGGTCCCAGTCATAGTGGGGCCCCATTGTGCTGGGAAGTGCATAAAAGCAAAAGATACTTGCTGTCCCAAAGAGCTTAGATTCTAAGGCTAGGACTACACTACAGCTGGGATTGACTCTCTGAGATTGATCCACCAGCGGTCGATTTAGCGGGTCTAGTGAAGACCCACCAAATCAACAGCAGATCGCTCTCCAGTCGACCCCTGTACTCTACCCCCGACAAGAAGAGTAAGGTAAGTCAACGGGAGAGTTTCTGCCGTTGACCCCCTGCGGTGTAGACCCTGTGGTAACTTGACCTAAGGTATGTCGACTCTAGGTACGTTATTCATGTAGCTGGAGTTGCGTAGTGTAGGTCAATTTACCATGGTAGTGTAGACATAACCTCAGTTAAGACAACAGAATAAGTGGGTATAACTAACAAAAATGAGGCTAAAAAGAGAAAAGAATAGTAGTGATGTTATGGTGGAAGTCTGTTGTAGACCACCAAATCAAGAAGAGGAAGTGGATGAGACATTCTTCAAATAACGAGGAGTCCGGTGGCACCTTAAAGACTAACAGATTTTTTTGGGCATAAGCTTTCGTGGGTAAAAAACCCACTTCTTCAGATGCATGGAGTGAAAATGACAAATGCCGGCATAAATTTACTGCCACATTCTCTTCTCTTCTTGTACCAGTATATTTATGCCGGCATCTGTAATTTTCACTCCATGCATCTGAAGAAGTGGGTTTTTTACCCATGGAAGCTTATGCCCAAATAAATCTGTTAGTCTTTAAGGTGCCACCGGACTCCTCATTGTTTTTGTGGATACAGACTAACACGGCTACCCCTCTGATATTCTTCAAATAGGTAACAAGATTAGCTAACACACATGAGCTAGTATTAATGGGGGATTTTAGTTTCCTTGATATCTGTTGGAAGACTAATACAGCCAAAGGTGATAATAGAATAATAGAAATGTAGGACTGAAAGGCAATTCAGTAGGTCACCTAGTCCAGTCCCCTGCACTGAGGCAGGACTAAGTATTATCTAGACTATTTCACAAAGCTGAAAACAATTATGGACCAAATCAACTAGGAGGAAGAATTTAATCAGGAAAATATGAATGATAATTGAGAATAATTTAACACCTTTCTAGATGCCCAAAAACCACAATCCCATGATCAAGGAAGAAGGCTATGCTGGTTAAAAATAGAACCTGGATTAGAGGGGAAGTGAGGGTAGCTGTAAATGCGCACACACAAGCGCATGCGCACACAGTTGATAGTAATGACTATAAATCAGAAATTAAGAATTGTAGACTATTGATAAGGGAAGCCAAGGGACACAAGGAGAACACATGCCAGCATAATAAAGAACAATAAGAAGGTGTTTTTAAATTCTGACAATGATATTGGTCCTTTACTAGATGGAAGTAGTAGAACTATCAATAATGCAGAAAAGGCAGAAATGTTCAATAAATATTTCTTTTCTGTATTTGGGGCAAAAAACAACTGATGCGATCTCGTCACACGGTGATGATAAAAATCTTTCCATTCCACTAGTATTTCGGGAGGATGTTAAACAGAAGCTATTAAAGTCAGACGTTTTAAAATCAGATGGTCCAGATGACTTGCATCAAGAGTTTTAAAAGAGGTAGCGTAGGAGTTCACTGGACCATTAATATTGGTTTTCTATATGTCTGGTTAAGTTCCAGAATACTGGAAGATAGCTAATGTTGGTCCAATTTTTAAAAAGGATCAACTGGGTGACCCGGGTAATTATAGTCCTGTTGGTCTGACATTGCTCCCAGGCAAGATAATGGAGTGATTGACACGGGACTCAATTAATAATGAACTAAAGAGAGGTAATGAATTAATGCAAATCAACATGGATTAATGGAAAATAGATCTTGTCAAACTACCTTGATATCTTTTCTTGATGAGATTACAAGTTTGATTGATAAAAGTAATAGTGTTGATGTAATATACTTAGACTTCTGTACAGCTTTTGAGTTGGTGCAGTGTGACATTTTGATTAAAAAATAGAGTGATATTAAATTACCATGGCACACATTAAATAAATTAAAAACTGGTTAGCTGATAAGTCTCAAAATGTAACTGTCAACAGGGAATTGTAATGAAGCATGTCTGTTTCTAGTGGTGTCCTGCAGGGATCGAATCTTGGCCCAATATTATTTAATATCTTTATCAATTATTTGGAAGAAAACATAAAATCATCACTGAGTTTGCAGATGACACAAAAATTGGGGGAGTGGTAAATAAAGAAGAGGGCAGGTCACTGATTCAGAATGATCTAGATCACTTGGTAAACTGGGTGCAAGCAAACAATATGTGTTTTAATATGGGTAAATGTATAAAACTGGGAAGAAAGAATGTAGGCCATACTTACAGGATATATCCTGTAAGTTCTTAGTATGTGTAGGGGATATCAGAAAGTTGAGGAAACAACTAGGAGGTCATCCATTTTGGATCTGGTTTTGACCAACAGGGATGAATTAGTTGCAAACACGAAGGTGGTTGGGAACTTGGGAGGAAGTGACCATAATCTGATAGGATTCAAGATCCTAAGGAAAGGAGGACATGTGAACAACAAAACAAGGACACTGGACTTCAAAAAGGCAGACTTCAACCAACTCTGAGAAATAGTAGGCATGGCTCCAGAGAGAGACCAATTAGGAAGAAAAGGAATTGAAGGGGGTTGGCAGTTCCTAAAAGATGTAATACTAGAAGTTCAGCATCAAGTAATTCCTATGCAGAGAAAAGATAAGAGCTTTTAGATATCTAAAAACCCAAACAGATACATATAGGAAATGGAAGGAGGGGAATGTCACTAAGGAAGTGGACATGAGAAGAGCATGAGCGTGTGGGAACAAAATCAGGAAAACCAAGGCAAGGAATGAGTTGCAACTGGCAAGAAATGTGAGAGATAACAAGAAGGGCTTTTACAAATATCAGACAAAAAAGAAAGATCAGGGATGGTGTGGGTCTGCTGCTTAATGGAGAAGGTGAGCTGGTAACCAAAGATGATGATAAGGCGGAGTTGCTCAGTGCCTACTTTGCTTCAGTCTTCACACACAAAAAATAACGTGACCGGATGACTAACGAAGTTATCAGAGACAATAAAAGGAAAGGGACACAGATCAGGATAAGTAAAAAAAACACATCAGAGATCTTCTGTCTAAATTGAATGAATTCAAGTCATCAAGGCCTGATGCTATTTATCCCAGGGTGCTGAAGGAATTAGCTGAAGAAATCTCAGAGCCACTGGCAATAATATTTACAATCTCATGGATGACAGTAGAAGTCCTGGAGGGCTGAAGAAAGCTAATGTCGTGCCCATCTTTAAAAAGGGGAAAAAGGAGGAGCCAGGGAACTATAGACCAGTCAGCCTCCCCTCAATACCTGGGAAGCTACTAGAGCAATATATAAAACATTCAATTTGCAAATATATGGAGGATGAAGGGGTGATCACTAGCAGACAGCATAAATTTGCTAAGAACAAATCATGCCAAGCAAGCTTGATTTCATTCTTTGCCAAGGTAATTGGTTTGATGGATAGAGGGAATGCGGTGCACATAGTACAAGTGAACTTCAGCAAGGCTTTTGACACAGTCCTACATGACGTTCTTATAAGTAAACTGGAGAAATACAGGTTCTTCTTTGAGTGCTTGTTCATGTCAATTCCAATCAGGTGCACGCGCGCTGTGTGCATGTCAGCCGGAAGATTTTTCCCCTAGCAGTATCCAGAGGGTCGGCCTGGGTGCCACCCTGGAGTCGGGCCCTGCTGACCCGACCCCCACTCAGTTCCTTCTTGTGACGGCTAGCTGGAACTCCCTTGCTTCGACAAGCGCGTGCTTTGCAGTATCTCTGTCCTCATGTACATAGTTAGATTTAGCAGCATAGTAGTTTTATAGTTAGTGTAGGTTTTCTTACAAGTTTCCTTGGGGGGGAGAGGTCTTTCTCCCCGACACTTTTCTCTGGCACCGGGGTATGCCTCAGTCCCCGGGCTTTAAACTGTGATCGGACTGTGGCAGATTTATGCCAAGAAGTAATCCGCACTTGTCATGCCTTAAGTGTCTGGGCGCGGGGCATCTCAGAGACTGCTGCAAAATCTATAAGGGTTTTCGCCCCAGGACCCTTAAGGACAGAGAGCAGCACCTCCGAGAGAACCGGTGCCGAGGAAGGACTCAGAGACCCTCGGCACCCCCCGGCTCCGCCCACGGGCAGGCATTGGTGAGGCACCGCTCTCACTCCCCAGTGCCTCATCAGAAGAAAAAGGGAGATAGAGGGTGCTCCCCAGCTAGGTCTAAGAACCATTTAACCAGCAAACCCCCATCGGGTGCTCAATCAGCTCCCGTTGACTCCTGCCCCAGGAGGGGTGCAGTCGAGTCCGGACCCGCGCCACTCACCAGGCCGCCAACGCAAGGACATACAGCTGCCTTCCACACTGGAAACGTTCGATTCAGCAGCGGACCTGTTGGCACTCAGGGCGCTGCCCTCACATCCTAGGAGGGGGAGGTCGCCGGCACCAATCCCAGGCCCAGTACATTCTGTAGGCAAGCCAGGGATGATGTCTGCCATAAGGCCATCCCCATTGCATTGACTGCCGGCACTGGGGTCTCTGTAGGGGAGCTGTTCCAGTCCCCAGCTGGCACCGATCCCCAGCACCGAGGCTCCACTCCTCCCCTGGTCATCACAATCGGAGACCTTGGAGGTGAAGTCCTCATGTTCTAATAGGAGCAGAAGATCCTGCTCCCGCCATGATTGACATCCCTACCTGGCACCCTGGCAGGGCCAGTGGCAGGCTCCTCAGTGGCCCTTCTGGACACCTTGGGCCTCTCATCAAAGCCAGGGTTCCAGATTGGCGT